TCAGTGGCTGGTGGGGAAGCTGGCTCCTTAGTGAAACTGGCTGCTCTGATGGGGAGAGCAGGCTCGGGGTTCTCTTCAGCTCCTTGGTGACCTGCGGGGCGAAGGCAGCATCTGGGCACGTGTGAGGGCAGAGGGCAGGGAGGGTGTCTGCATATGGCCTGCCACTCCCCACACACCCCCAGCTCCTGGCTGTGCTTGGTGGCTGCTCTCTGGCTCCAAGCAGAGGGGCCGCGCCAGGCCTGCACCCTGGGAAAGGTCTCTCTCACAGTGCCCACGCAGGGGCAAGGGGTGCTGATGAGCTTCTTGGATTCAGTTACGAGTCGGCATGGGGGCTGGGGGGTGCAGCCCCCACACTGGGGCTGGTTGGTCAAACATGACCTCCCTGTGGGCTGATTTCTCTGCAGGATCAGCAGGTGCACCTGAGACTCTGAGTAAAGGGCTGGGTATGCCTGCACAGAAGGGCGGAGGGCAGGCTTTTCACTGTGTGTCTCTCTCTTTCTTTTTAACGTGTCAGAGGGCACATGCATACGCTAGAGAGAGACTGAGGGAGGAGAGAGAGAGAGAGAGACAGAAAAACAGAAAAGGCGAGGGAACTAGCAGTTAGCGTAATGACTATGTCGCTGGACTCCCATGTAGTCGACCGTGGTTCACGTCCCGAACCTGGTGGCTTAAAACTCATGCTGGGCGTGTGTGCGTGCGTGCCCAAGATCCCGAGAGGAGAATGGAGGAGAAGGGATTGCGGCGTGGCCATCCCCCTTGGGGGGTGATTTCTTGCTTTCTATCTCTGTCTCTCTCTGTCTGGCGAGTGCACGTGCCCTATAGTGAAAACCTCTCAAAAAAAAAAAAAAAAAAAAAAAAGAAAAAAGAAACAACAAAAAAGAAAAACAGAAAAGGCGAGAAAGCACTCCCTAGGTGGAATGGCTACACAGCCACCGCTTCTCCATTCTTCCCTGGAATTTTGGGCACACATGGCATACCCTGGAGTGACTCCCAGGTTGCCGATCTGGGATCAAAGCACGTGGTCAGCCACATGGACCCAGCACTCTGACTCCCTCACCAGCGACTGGCCCTTGTTTCTCTTTCGTTTTTGAAAACCCAGGCCCAGTGTGCCTTCCTTGGACTCAAATGGGTAAAAAGTACAGATGTGACCTTGCTTAGACACTGTTACCCCAAAACTAAGGCCCGTCTTTCCCCCTCTGAGCAATGGACAGAGCCGAGTTGCAGGGAGCAGTTGTGGGGGCACGTGGATTTTCTGGGGCGCCATCTCCACCTGGTGCCTGAAGCCTGCACATGCTTTTTGTTACTAGAGCTGTGCTGGGCTGCTTCCTGTCTGACGGGTGCACTCTCAAGGATGTGGCCGTGTGTTTCCAGAATCTTCTGAGTGTCCTGGGGTAGGCGAGTCACTCTCTATGACCTGGAGAACCCGTGGGTGGTCAGGAGAACCTCTCCTCAGCTAATGGGCATCAGACATCAGCTGGAAAAACACTCAACAACTGAGGTAAAACTTCTCTTGGGCAAAAGACCCTGGGGAAAGCTAATTTCCATGCTGATGAAATTTTTGAGTAAACCATAAATCCCATCATAAGACTAGCAAAACTGATGCAGAGAAAATTCCTCAAACGATTAAGCAGTTGTTTTAGCAGCCCCTCTGTGAATCAAGCTGGGGTTTAAAACGAGAGGAAACAATTTGGGGTGCAGACCCAGCTGCCCTCTGCCCCTCCCGGGTCTCCCACATCTTTCCCAGTATGCTCTGCCTGGTGCAACCACGTCCATGCCCACGTCACAGCTGGTCTGTCCCTGGTTGTTGGTGACTTCCCCTTTTCTTCTTCAGAAGCCCGAGATTTGTAAGGTTTCAGAACCAGAAGGCCCAGCCTCGTGTGAAAGTTCCACCTGAAACATCTCAGAGGGGCTTGCCTTTGCCTTCAGGAGTCCTTCAAGGGGGAGACCTGCTGAGGGCACCAGCAGAGTAGTGAAGTTTCCCGGAGTCTCTGGGTTCAGGGGCTCAGGGGATGGGCAGGGGAGTCTGATCTGTCTCCTCCACACCACGGGCTCCTTGGGGTCAGCATGCAGGCTGGAGACCAGGGCCCCTGCAAAGGAAGCAGAGAATGGCAAGTCACGAGTCAACCGAGGCTCACTGGCCACAGACTGATGGGAGGACCTGCGCAGCCCAGAAGAGGGCCTGCCAACCTCCCCGGGCGGTGCGTGCAAGGATACTTATTGAACGAGCACACGAATGTCTTTTCTCCTAGTCTTTGCCCAGACTTTCTGCAGCATGAAAAAAACCTATGCATCTTCTGAACTTCATTCAGCCTTACTACACAATCCACAAGTAAAGAATGAAGAGAAAAGGCATCGGGTTACAGAAATGGGAGGAGGAGCTGACGAAGACCATTGACCAGAGCCAAAGAAAAAGTCCCTGAAACTTCAAGGAGAGGCTCTGGATCCCCACCACGTTACTGGAATCTCCATGTGTTTACATGTCGATATTCTGCACAATGAGTTACAACTTGACTATTCCCCCAAGGATCTCAGACCAGAGAGGTCAGGGCTAAATTGCTTGTCTGAATGAGCACAGATGAGCCTACAGCTATTTAGCACAGGAGGGAAAAAGGAGTAAAATGAAAACCTGCGTTATCTGCACCCCTCCCCTTTCCCCAGGGCCGTTCTGGGCATGCTCGGAGGAACGAGAATGCCTGCTGCAATACCCCACCAGGGTTGCGGTGGCAGTCTGGCCTCCCGCAGGAGTGAGGCCAATGAGACGATCATTTCATCACCCTTCTCCTCGTAAGGTATTTTTAAACCCTGTCATACTACGCCCCAATTTCCCTGCAGGACTTCTGTTAGGAATAAGTTTCAGAGGCAGGGTTTCTGCGACGCCTTACTTCCGGGCTTTGAGCTTGGAGGTTATTATTATTGGCATTTGAAATTCATTTAAGGAGGCTATTTTATTCACTCTGGCATCTTTTTTCATTGTTTGATCTTCATTGTTTCTAGGAAGGACTTCCAAAATCAATACTTGTAAGCAGGCTGGGACCTGTGGAGGCGCCCCCTGGCTGTGTCCTGTGTCCTGTGTGCCACTTGCAAGGTGGCACCTCCAGGCTCCAAGGCTCCATAGATCTGGCAGAAAGAGGTCAGCCATGGGCCTCCTGCCAACAATTTTTGTCTTGAAAATAGGTCGCTTCTGACAATGGTGGCCCACCCATGCCAGGCGGGAGTGTGAAAAAGCATCTTTCTACCCCTTGGAGCTGGCAGTGGGCACTAGCATTTACTCCAGGGGACGGGGTCCCAGGGACGGAACAGTCCTGATGTCAGTCTAGATCATCTCGCAGTTTGGATCAGATGAACCGAGATAAGGAAGAGGGAAAGTGAGTAAATGAAACATGTAAGGTGCTATTCGAAGACATCAAGTGAAAGACTGAAACTTTGCTAATCCTGGAGTAGAAGAAACGCATTCTCGCCCCTCCACCCACCCCCACCCTCCCAGGGAGCACACTGAGGGCAAAGGGGCACACCCTCGAGTGCTGTGGCTGTATAGACGGACAGAGCGACGCCAGCCTTGCTTCATGAGTGAGCCTGAGTGAGAGGCAGGAAGCTTGCAGTGAAGGGCCCTCATGTATCTGAAAGAGGGGAACCCAACAGCCAGGGTCAAAGGGCAAAGCCCCACCTGGAGGTGACTGGGGCCAATGCTTGTGCCCTACTCACTCCTCCGGTCCCCCAGCTTTCGGCTGGGATATCCACAGCCTGTGCTGGCTCCTGACATACCCACTGTACCCTAGGGGTGACAAAGAAGAAGAGGCTGCGGAAGGAGCGGGCATAAAGAAGGGCTGCCGTACGAGTCCCTCACCCCACTCAGATGCTACTGCCTGTCCTGGTGACAGACACTGGGCCCACTAGGAGCACGCCGCAGCCCACTTCCCTGTGGCAGTGCCAGCCCAAAGACACACTGGACACGAGTGTTCCCAGATAAAACCTGCCCTAAATCCCCTGCTGTGGGGGGAGAGGTGGACTGCACAGGGGGCTTCAACAGCTTCATGGATGTGCATAGTATGAAAAAACTGCATGAACTTCAAGATTTGTTTTTGCACCACCGAAGTACATTCATGTTTTCATTCCCCCTTCCACGAACTTTCTGAAGATTCCGCTCACAACCCAGCTCTGCCATCCCTGCGCTCTGGCTCCTGCTGCCTCTGGGGGCTGCAGTGAATGAGCCCAGGTTGGGACAACATCAAGGAGGGCAAAAGACAGGGCAGCTGGGTGGGAGGCCTGCGGTGTGATCAACCAGGATAGAGTTTTGGACTAGACCTGATGTCCCATTTCCATGTTTGTGGAGCGAGGCAGTGACAGGTGCCTGTGCCAGGCATTGCACGGTGGCGATGGGGCCTCCAGTGACGACTCGCTCAGCGCTCTCCCTCGGGGGCACCGCCATCATCAATACTGTTAGCTGTTCTCCTTCCTGTGGGCCAGTGAGCCAGTGAGCCCCCAACAGACGCTTCCTGCCAGCCCTGCCTAGCATCAGTGCTCTGGGCAGGGCATGGACCCCAGGCCCAGGACAGAAGAGCAGGCAGGGAGGTCACACCTGCAGAGGCCAGCCCGCCCTCTGGGTCCTAGACTGCAGAGATCCAGGTTCTCCGCCCTCTGCGCTCCCCCAGCTTTTGTCTGCCTTTGGTCCCCCAGCTGTTCCATTCAGCAGCAACACCCCCCACCCCCCTAGCCTACTCTCCCTGGAGGAGGCCTAGGAGGCCTCCATTAAGGCAGGCGGTCAAAGGCCAGCCCAGCACGTGCTGCATCTTAGAGGCCTATCTCCAGATCCTGCTCCTCAACAAAAAAGGGGGCGGCCCTGGAGCCTATTGGCTCCCTGCAGCCCCACACACAAAAGGGGGGACAAAGACATCTTCCGGGATGGCAGGTGTTGGTGTCGGATTCCAACCGGGGTATGCAGGGGCAGGAGAAAGGCGAGGCTGGGCTTCCAGGGTTGGCAGTGCAGACATGCAGGGGAGGAGTGGGCAGGCCCCTGGGGGAGGGGAGGGGGCAGCGAGGTGAAGCTGGGGAGGTGCAGGGTACGCAGCAGTGCTGGCACCAGAGGAGGCAAGAGAGCAATGCACACCACCTCCCCCCAAAAGTAGGGTGGCGGGCAAACCCACTTAGGTGTCAGTCTTACCTTGCTCAAATATTGTAATGAGACCTTTACGTATTTTAATCTGAAGGGAGAGAACATAAAGTCAAATGAATACAAGCACGGCACCCTCATCGCTCTGGCTCGGTAATGAACGCAGCGCTAATCACACATCTACTCCTGTGCTATTTTCTCGCAGCCTTTCGGATCTTCAAGAACCAAAGTCACTTGGAAATTCTACCGGATGGGACGGAATGCGTGCGGAGGTCACAGCTGCCAATGTGAAGGGAGAGACATGAAGACTCCTTCCACATCCGATGTGGACTTTGCTACGAGCCTTGGTCGGGACAGCTCTGAGCGCTGTCTTTTCCAGGCACCCCAGCCCTTCTGGCTGACTGGGTCTAAAATACAGAGGAAGATAAAGACATGCATTTGGAATTCAATGCATGACCTGAAAAAAAGTCGACACCCCCAAGTGTGCAAATGAACACGTCTCCAAGAGTGATCGGAGAGGTTTCCGAGGGGCACACGGAGCTCACTCAGCACTGATGTGTCACTTGCAGTGTGAGCCCCCAGGGAAGAACACACAGCATGCTGGCAGAGGCTGGGGACCCTGCAGGGGACTCGGACCCCACACTCACCCTCTGGCCCACAGGGCAGCTGCTGAACTGCACGGAGGGAGGGCCCGAGCCGGTGCCCACGTTGCGGCAGGGGTTTCCAGCCATCCACACCATCCTATTTCCTGTTTTCCCTCAGCAGGGGCACCCCCTTTCTGCATCACGCAATGGCTTCTCATCCCAACCCCCACAACTGTCCTGAATCCAGTGACATTAGACCACACTCAGATCTGGACAAAGGACATTTATCAGCGACATGGACCATTGTCTGGGCGGCCACAGTTGTAAACATGGATTTTCTGTTGACCCCATCTGCCGAGGCGGCACAGGCCGGGCCAGCATCTGGGATGGCGGCTCGGAATGCCGTCGGAGGAAGGACCGCTGGAACCATGGAGGGCTGTCCCTTTAGCCTGGCCACTCCGGAAGGAATGTGCTGTGAAGACACCTTTTCTAGCCTATGGATGAGAACTCACTCCTCACCCACCAAAAGGAAACCCTGAGCCAAGCCTGGACGACCCCAGGCCCCTCTGTCGTGCTTGGTCTGATTTCCAAGCTCCGTCTACACTGCTGCTCCTCTGTATGTGAACTGCGCCCATGGGCACGGACGTTCTGGACTGGGGCTGCCTGGGGAATGGACTGGGCCCTTTCCCACGGGTCCCCTGATAACGACTGTTTTCCATAGTGCCTTCTTTCCTCCGCGCGTGCTGTGGGGTCCCCGCTCCCAGTCACGGAAGACGGCGAGCACAGCTTGTCTGCGCGGGTCCTTCCTGGGGTTAAGAAGGCTCAGCTTTTCAGCACCGTGCTACCGACGCTCCCCAGTGTGAGCAGAGGGTCTCTTTATGAGGGGCTCCTTGATCTCCCTCCCCTGCAGCCCCCTCAGCCCCGGTTATGCTGTGTGTACCGGCACCCGATTGGTAGGGCCCGAGAAAGCAGATGGTGCGGCTAACAATGGAGGGCTTGTTTGTAATTGCTGATGAGGGCTGGATGGCTCCTCTCCTGTGCGTCCCCAGACGCGGCCTGATGTGGTGTGCTGGACCACAAAGAATGTCTCGGGGACTGCGGATCCATGGTGGAGTTAAGGAGATGCAAAGGCCGAGGCAGTCGGGGGCTGCCTTGATTACTCCATGGGGCTCGAATGTCACTTGCCCTTGACACACAGGCAGGGCTCCCGCAGGGTGGAGTCTGCACCCCTGGAACACAGGAATAGGCTGTCAGCTTCCTGATCCATCCCTGGGGTAAGCCAGGCACCGCCTAACCTGGGCAGTGCTGGAAGGCACCAGAAGAGCGGACTGTGCCTGGGGGTGGGGGACGGAGAGGCCAGGAGGCTCGCGGTGCCCGGGGGAGTGGGAGGGAGACA